TAAAGTGTAAATGGGAAGGAACGTGTTTTCTGTGCACGTGTTTGCAAAGGAGTGGGAGCACCGCTTTCCTTTTTTCCAGTGAAACATCTCACTCTTTCTGCTGGTTATTTTATCTGATCTCTCCTCCAGCTGCGCTCAGAAATTTCCTATTGTGGCCTGGCAATTCAGAGCCCTGTGGCTCCTTTCTTCCCCTAATGGAGTTTCCTGGTAAATAGCTTTGAACTCAGATCCTTGTCTCAACAATAGATAAGCTTCTGCCTAACTGGCACTTCACAATTAACAGCATTATCTTGTTAAACCTGAAGAGGTGTAGGAAGGCTCAGCCATCATTTTAAAGTGTTTTATTGCTTAGAAAGTGTTTACAAAGGGCTACAGAAGTGGTAAATTAAGCCCAGTGCTGCATTCAGATGCTTGATTAGCTCAGCCACATCAAAATGCCAATAATTCAGGTTCTGACATTGCTGAAGCCTCGAAACACCTGAGGTTTTTATAGAGGAAATAAAAATGGAAAGGAAAGGAAAGGAACAAGGAAAGGAACAAGGAAAGGAACAAGGCAAGGAAAGGATTTGAGGTGAAAAGTGGCTCAGAATCAGAAGACGATGGTTCCTATTCAGGTACAGCTGTCCTCAGTGAAGAGCCAATTTTCCCCAGGAGTGAGGTTGTGGGAATAAGTGACCCGTGAGAGGAGAGAAACCTCTGCTGGTTCCCTTCTGGAACAATTGGTGTGTCCAGGTTGTGTCTGTTCCTGTTCTACAAACCGGCATTTCACAGCTGGAGTGTCCCATCTCCGTGTCCCCTCTCACCCGGCAGCTCCGCAGTGTGTGAGCAGCAGGGAACAGCACACACAGAATTCGGGGTTCAGATATTTGTTGCTGTTCCATCTGTAAATGAGCTTTGCTGGAAGTCCCTGCCCTCCTTTAGCTCTTCCAAAAGCTTCTGGAAGGATGGAGAAATTCATCTTCCCAAGGCTCGCAGGACAGAGGTATCTGTGGATTCAGTCATGCTCGATGAACTTACCAGCTCCAAATGTCATCAGGGAGAGGTCACAGAGAAATACAGCGGGCTCCTTACTCACCACCTGCTTTGCAAGCTCAAAAATAGATTGAAGAACGTATAAATAAGGTAAAAAACAGGGCTAAAAGAACCGCTGGAATTCGTGCTGGGAGCAAGAGGAAGATGAGGGAGCGATGCGCCCTTGTGGCAAAGGAGGCAGCAGCATCCCGGGATGCAGCCCGGGAATGGGGCCAGGGGGGCAGGGCAGGGGTCCTGCCCCTCCAGAGGGGTACCTGGAGAGGCTCCTGGAGCAGATCCTGCTCTCCCTGTGGTGCCTGGAGAGGCTCCTGGAGCAGATCCTGCTCTCCCTGTGGTGCCTGGAGAGGCTCCTGGAGCAGGGGCTGGGCAGGGTTAAAGGAATAAAGCAGGGATTTATTAAAAGCCCTTCCAAGGATGCACCTTGGGCACTGCAAGAGCCCGGCCGTGGCTGCAGCCAGGATGGGCCCTGGCTCAGGAGTTTCCCACTTGGATCAGTTCTGGTCCATTTCCAGCTTGGGCTGAATTGTGCAATTCCAGCTGCAGGTGATGCAGTCCCATCCTCCCAGGTTGCTCTCCTCAATTCCCTGCTGGTTGCACTTTTTGGGCCTGGAGCTGCAGCGGTGTCCTTGGCTGTGGGGCTGGAGAAGGATTGTTGTGTGTGCCTGAGCTGTGAGGAGACCTTGCTGACACTTTGTGTGGAGTTCAGAGTTAGGTACCAGTGCAGGGCAGAACCTGGAAAATATGAAAGGTAAAAGTTCAGCCTCAGCTGAACTGAAGCAGGTCCAGCAAAGGTCCAGGAGATGCTGAAGGGACTGAGCTCCTCAGCCTGGGGAGGAGAAGGCTCAGGGGGGTCTCTCAGTGGGAGAACTGAGGAGTGAACAAAGAAGGTGGAGCCAGTCCCTTCCCAGTGGTGCCCAGTGCCAGGGCAAAAGGCACAAACCCTAACACACAAAATTCCACCCAAACATCCAGAAAAATCTCCCTCAGAGTCCACAGGGTCGCGGTAAGGATTGCTCAGGTTGGAAATGACCTCTAAGGTCATCCAGTCCAGCCACCAACACAGCAGCACCTCCATGGTCACCCAAACACGTCCCCAAATGTCACATCCATGTGTTTTTTGATCACTTCCAGGGATGAGCAGGAATCCACACCGTGCTTGCTGGGAACCAGGTGAAAATTAACCCATCTGATCCCATAGCTCTGAAGATCCCTGCAGACAGTTAAAAGGATTCCAGAAATATCCAGTTTCTTCTTTGTCCTCCATCCTCTGGTCTGGTTTTCACATTAAATTGAAATTTGACTACATGGAGGAACAGAAACTGAAACAAAGTCACAAAATGAGTTCCTGCACATTTTTTCCTTGTTGAAAACAATCGACAGTGAAGGCACGAGAGGAAAATTCAAACTAGTGAAACCTGTAGGGAACTTATTTAGGGGCACTTGAGGTGTCCTTGTGGACCTGGGCTCCTCTCAAGGTTTGCTCATCTCATGCTGGCAGCCAGGCTAAAACCCTTCCATTTTTCCATTGTCTGGATATAAGGAGTGCCTCAGTTCTGGGTGGAGCAGGAAGCAGGTGAAGATGCCCAGTCTGTTGTCACCTGAGTAAATAAACTCTGATTTTAATCCTGGTAGCACCCAGACACTCCCCATAGTGAGGGAGAGAGAAAAACAAGCAGCCAACACTCAGAAACAAATAATGGCAGTTTAACCTTATTTTTATTATTTTTGCTGTGTTTTATGGCCAGGGAGAAATAATTCACATCAAGGATCATGACTTTAGCAAGGCTTCCAGCAGTTTCTAGCAAAGCAATGTGAGATTAATTAGAGAAGCAGGGTGTTAATGAACCTGTCTGGGGTGGAGGTCATGAGAGCTGAGTGACCATGCAGGGACCAAATATCAGGGGAAGGATGGCCTGATGTGGTTCTGGATTTGGTTTCTCTGTTCCTGGTGGAAAAGGAATTTGCTTATTAAATTTGCAGGTGATATGAAGCTTGGATGACCATAAGTCTATTAGAGAACAGGATTAGAATTTAAAATGTTCTTGACAAATTGGATAAATAGCCTGAAAATAAATTGATTAAATGGAGAAAAATGAGATGCCTCGGGCTGAAGCAGGAATGCTAAAAAGCCTTTTCTGTGTTGGAGAACAATTGGAGAGTTCCTTGGAAAAGCAATAAGGAGCCATAAAGGATCACAGACTTTACACAGACCAGGAAAATTAAAATATCTCTTGTTGTGTGAGCAAGAGAAGCTGGGACAATGCAGGAATTCCACTCTGTCCTGGTTAGGGCTCTCTCAGAAACACATCCCAGCCTCGAGGAGGATCTGGCTCAGGGGGAGCAAAGGGTTCTGGAATGACAGGGACCCGAGGCAGAGCAGGTTTTACAGGGAAACAGGAAAGCAATGGTGTCAGCATGAAGGACAAGGGTAAAATGAAGGATAAGGGAGCACACAGCAACTGTGGTCACAAAGAGCTGTGGCAGAAATAAGGGGAATTCTCTCCACATCCCTGGAGAAAGATCCCATGTCTCCTTTTTCCACTGGAAAGAAGGAATTGGTTTGAAAAGCAGAAAGGAGGACTCGGTGACACAGATCTTCTGGGGGAGAGGAGATATCCATGAAAGGTTTGGGAGTAGCAGAGCAGCCACTGGAGCAATGCCCTGCAGCAGCAGAGCAGGACATGAGGGGTCCCTGGAGATCTCCTCTCACCCTGCACTGCTGCAGCTCCATCCAAGCGGGGAAGATCTGGGCAAGGATTCCTTAATGGAAACTAAAGGTGCTGGATTTATCAGGGGTCCCTTATCTGAGGATTTCATTACAGTGAGAAGGAGACAGAGCTGTTTTCCACCCCAAAGGCAGTTCCCAGTCCCAGTTCCAGCAGTGACTGTGCCATGGATTGCTTCCCCTGCACTGCTGCCTCAGTCTCACAGGATTCCCCTTTCCTGAGGGGGGATCCAGAGTTCATGTGCAGCTGTTTTGTTGCCTGGAGAGGCTCCTGGAGCAGATCCTGCTCTCCCTGTGGTGCCTGGAGAGGCTCCTGGAGCAGATCCTGCTCTCCCTGTGGTGCCTGGAGAGGCTCCTGGAGCAGAGGCTGGGCAGGGTTAAAGGAATAAAGCAGGGATTTATTAAAAGCCCTTCCAAGGATGCACCTTGGGCACTGCAAGAGCCCGGCCGTGGCTGCAGCCAGGATGGGCCCTGGCTCAGGAGTTTCCCACTTGGATCAGTTCTGGTCCATTTCCAGCTTGGGCTGAATTGTGCAATTCCAGCTGCAGGTGATGCAGTCCCATCCTCCCAGGTTGCTCTCCTCAATTCCCTGCTGGTTGCACTTTTTGGGCCTGGAGCTGCAGCGGTGTCCTTGGCTGTGGGGCTGGAGAAGGATTGTTGTGTGTGCCTGAGCTGTGAGGAGACCTTGCTGACACTTTGTGTGGAGTTCAGAGCTAGGTACCAGTGCACAACCTGGGAAATGTCACAGCTGAACCTGAGGCATCAGTTTAACTCCACGAGGCCAAACCTTGGACTCCTCTCATTGCTCACACAGGACATGGTGGTCGTGGCTGTGCTCACAGTGGGGCAGTCTGGGTTTGGGTGGTTGGGGCTCACATCCTGCAAAGCTCCAAAGCTCCAGGGGCCTGTTCTGGATGGAGCTGGAGCAGGGGAATGGGGCACCAGGAGCAGCCCACCCTGAGCTACAGCTGGGTATGCTCCTGTCTGTGTTTCTCACCTTTGCAGAGAGCCCTCATTTGCAGGCTCAGCAGAAGGGGAGCAGATTCCCATTATCGTGCTCTCCTTGCATCTGGAATTTTAAGTGAACTGCATAACAGAATCTTCTGCTTTCTTAAGCATTTCCTTCTCCTTTCTTTAATCATGCTGAGATTTCCTGTGATACTGTGAGCTGTAATTATCATCTGCAGATCAGTGGCAATGCTAAGCTGGTTCTTAAAGGGATTTTTTTTTCTGTGAATTTCAGATGACCAAGAACAAAATTATAATCACCTGATACTAAACAGTGCCACCCAGACACCTACACATGGTAAGAGAAAGCAAAGAGCAAAATTACACACGTTGTAACTTTCCTCTGCCAGCCAGTAACATTTACTGGTACTGAAGTGTGTTTAATGTGAATGGAAATATTCCTCTGGCAGTGCTGCATGGCTGATGGTTCCCATTAACATTAAACACAGGACCATATTTTCAATAGTGTGCACAGGGAAATATGGCCCAGTCTTTTCTAACTGTGCTGATCAGCCTCGTGTCTAATTCCAAGATCCTCCTTTGTTCCCCACTTGGTTTCCTCCACCTCGTCCCAGCCTGGAGATGTTTCTTTGCTTCCTCCATGGCCAGATCCTGCCTCTCTCTGCTCAGCCCTGTTCCCCAGCCCTTCTGTCCCCTCCTTTGGGTTTCCCAGAGCAGCAGTGGAGCCTGGGCTGTGTCCCCCCTCCCTCGGAGCCACCATGGACCGACCAAACCCTGGCAGCTCCTGGCTCCATCCAGCCCCAGGCCAGTCCCTGCCACCCAAATCCCCGTTCCCCAGTCAGACCTGTGCAGTCAGACCAATTTCTGGCTGATCCCTCTGCTTCCTTCCCTCTTCTGCTGCTGCCTTGTCTGGGTCCTGTCCGTGTCCCTCCCTGCGCCCTTTGCCTTTGGAGTGTGATCCATTCCTCCTGCTGCAAGTTCTCAGTCAATCTCATCTCAGTCACTTCTGGCAGTGCTGAGTCTCTGTATTTGTTACTCTTTTTGTCCTGGTGTTTGTTTTGAATCCTGAAACCTCATCCTGACTGTTCTGGAGCTGATTTATTGCAAGTTGTGTTCACATGTGGAAATCTCCCTGCTGCTAAGGAGGGTGGGGGAACAATTGCCCATGGAAAGATCACCTAAAACCTTGGGGGTTTCTTCTTCCCAGAGGAGGCAGGCGACTCTTCAGCCTGCAAATTGCTTCCATGGTATGACTGTGTTCTTAGGGCTTCATTTTCTGCCTTCCAAACACTTCAGGAGGAAGAGTGTCAGCTTTAAACTCATCAGTGCTGCAGCAGTATTTAATGAGCCTGAACTGACAGCCCCCGATGTTCCTGACTACTCATTCTGTTTATTTTTTTACCTTCCTGAGGGGAAAAAAAAAGAAAATGGAGAAATAGGTTTGAAATTGTGTTCTCTTCTCTTTGGTCTTGGTACTCGTCCTTAAAATCCAGCCTCTGTTGGGTTCTGAGCTGTCCTTGTGTCTGCCCAGGAGCTTTAAAGCAGCTCCAGCACCAGGGTCCCACCGTATCCAAGAGCTCCAGGGAATGTGCCAAAACAATTAAACTTCCCTCTGCTCCTAACAGATGCTTTGCTTTTTTATGTACTTAAGAGACAAAAAAACAAAGGCAGATACACTCATGGTCTTGGACTCCTCATGCTTCCTGTGTCTTAATAATTTGGTTTTTCGGAGTGACTCGGATGAGCTGAGCACAAATAAGAATGTGATTCAGAGGTGCATCTTTCCTCTGAGTTATCCAGATGGCCACGGGTGCTTTTGTTCCTTACGCTCGTGTGTGCTGGTGAGCCACTGCTCGCCCAGTCTGGAACTGTGTTTGGACATTTCAAGTAAGACATCAGAAGAGTTTGCAGGATTCAGAATTACTGCTGAGGTGGTGACCAAGGTTTAATTTAATTCCCTCCCTGGCACGGGGCACATTTTCTGTGTGGTCCTGCAGGTTTGGAGGTGGACAGGAGCTGTCCTGTGGTCCCTAAGCCTGTCCCTGGCCCCCTCCGTGCAGCCAGAGCCTCTGCAGGGAGCAGAACGCGGGGCTTGGTGGCCTGGGCTCCTCCTAAGAGCAGTAAAAGAGCAGCTGAAGGTTCTCAGGGTGCCAGCCTGAGCCAGCAGGGCAGTGCCTGGAGGTGACAAGCAGCCAAAAATCCCTCCCGTGCCTGGAGCAGCTCCCAAGGGTCTCACTCCACAGGGTGAGCTGGAAACCTGGAATTCCTGTCAGGACTGGAGCTCAGCTGCCATGGGCTGGGCTCTTCACAGGTCTTTGCCTTCAGCTGGAATCCCTGGATCTCCAAACTCCCTCCATCCTGGGGCTGAGCAGCAGAGGATTCTCACAGCCAGCCCGAGGCTCTGCAGGAGAGCTCCTGGTGGAGCAGGAAGGAAAGCCAAGGTCCCTTTCCCCTTTCTGCACCGCCTGGGCCTTGGGAAAAGCAGAGCCAAATGCACCCAGCCAGGAGTGTTCCCGAAGGTCCTGGGAATCACAGCAGGATCTCAGCATCCAGATGTGCAGTGGGGCAGCTGTGCCCTGCTTTGGGAATCATGACAGGATCTCAGTGCTCAGGAGAGATCCAGATGTGCAGCAGAACCACCATTCCCTGCTTTGGGAATCATGACAGCATCTCAGCATCCAGGAGTGATCCAGATGTGCAGTGGGGCAACAGTTCTGCTCTTTGGGGAATTGTAACAGGGTTTTGGTGTGCAGGGATGATCCAGATGTGTGCTGGGGCCGCTGTCCCACCAAGCAGCATTTTGGGGATGCCCCCAGTATCCCTGGGAGGGCCAGTGTTCAGCTGAGGGAGGCAGAGGGTGGCCAGCACCTCTTCCCATGGCAGATCCCAGGGGATGGGAGCAATCCACGCTCACAGGGAATGGGGAGAACAAGGAAAAAGCCAGTGTGACCTTGGGTCTTGGAGCTTTTGTGCTGCAGCTGCAGGTTCCCAGGGTTAAATCCCCTGGGGCTCTGGTTTAACCTGGCAGGGGGTGCCACTTTTGGGGCACAACTTCTCAGCGCAGAGCTGGGATTATCCCAGCCCTTGGTGCAAGAAGGAATAACCACAGATTAACGGCGGGTCCCAGTTAATCTGTTCTGCCAGGCTGGGAGGGGAGATCTCCCTTCCCTCCCTGCCTGGCTGGCACAGAGGGCTGGACAATGCTGGATATCTCGGGACAGGCAATTCCCAGCGGGATCAGAAGTGACCACGGGCAGAGGAGTCACAGGAGGTGTCCAAGGCCAGGCTGGAACCCTGGAAGGTGCCCCAGCCCCTGAGGGGTGGCTCTGGATGGACTTTAAGGTCTGTTCCAACCCAACCCATGCCAGGACTCTGCAGTTCCATGACTCTCCCTGGCTGCAATCCCAAGATTTCATCTCTGCTGCTGTTGAAGGCTCTGAATTAACCACAGAGACTCTGAGCATCCCACATCTTCCAAAAACCCCTTGTTTTTTCTGTTGCTGGACTATTCCTGCCCCAAATTCCCTCCCAGGACACCAAATATCCCATTCCAGAGGTACCTACAGCCCTTGAGAATCCTCAGTCGAAATTCTGCTTTCAGTGACAGACTTTAGACCTCAATTCCACTGAAATCTGAATTTCCATGTGGATTTCCTTAACTCTAGACTTTATTTCTACCTCAGCTGCAGATTTGAGCTGCAAATGAAGAACTCTACAGAAGTTTTAGGAAATGTAGTGATTTGTATGTAAAATGTGAGTGGGAGGGAGCAAGTATTAGGCTCTAAGCACAACCAAGTTTTACATATGAAATGCAGCTAAATCTTTTGATACATTAATTTATCTTGCTTAGATATTCAGCCTTCACACAAAATAAGCACATAAAATGATTTTCCCCATAAAAAACATTAAAATACGAAGGGAAAAAACCGAGCTGGGGGCACAAAAGAGAGCTGAGCATCAGCTATAACAGAAATACACACTGACTGCCTGGGCTCAGTTTCTGTACAGTTTATTGCTTTATTTTTTTACTGCTGCTGAAGTTTCATCTCATTATATTTAGTGCATATATAATTATCCTAACCTAAAGAGCACCTAATAAACATTTTTTTTTTCACATCTTTATAAATACTGAGCGCATTTCCAAATAATATGGTTAGGAGGAAGTTCATATCACGACTTTTATGCCAGTTAATTGCATTTGACAATCATCTCAAAAAATACTGAGTAAACCACCATGAGCAGCCAATTACTTCAAGGTTTTAATTTGGCCAAGTGTTTTTCCATGGATGATGCCTGGGATTGCTCTGATGGAGGAAAATTTCATTTTACATCTGTACTTGTGGGAGCTTTTTTCAGTTTCCTCTATGTAGTCATGTATGAGTGTGGTTTATTTTCTTCCCTTCCCTTCCCTTCCCTTCCCTTCCCTTCCCTTCCCTTCCCTTCCCTTCCCTTCC